AGGGTGGTCTATTTGAGTATGCATGCACCTAATAATTATAAAAAACCTATTATAATTAAGTTACAGAAACCTTAAGCGAAAATAGAATATACTTTCTTACCATAACACCTTGAACCCACAATCCATCAGCTGACTCCTGGTGAAATGCAGAATAGAGGTCGTCTCTCAATGTGCAGCAAAAAAAAACAAAAACAAAAGGACAGCAGGTGAGGGCAGGAGGGGTAGGGATGTAAGCTAGCATAATGCCGCTGATGATATTAGCTAAAGCTATTCAATGTCCAAAATCTCACTAACACCACGGTGCAGTAAATACACAATGTAACTGAAGAGTCAGTTGGCAAATCTATTCACACAGAAAACCAAATTATGTTATGAGTGCCTCGTAATTAGGTTTAATGTGATATTACGGCTCTTGTGCCAAAGACAAATTCAAATGAAAAAGCGCCAATTCTTTGACAACAGATAAAACGGCAAATAAGCTAACGGCTCTTTTTTAGCATGTTACATGGCGACACTCTAGACGTTTAACTACATTTGGCTGAAATATGGTAAATATTAATTCAAAAAATCAAGACATACCAAAAACGTAGAGTTGGCTGCTCGACTTGACTGAGATGGATGCCTTTTTTAAACCACGATCCAAAGCCCGCGAGATGAAATCACGCGTGGTTTCACGAGATTTAACGTTGCTATCTTATTGACTTACTTCACCTGAACATGATATGAACAATTTAATACACCCTTTCTGCATATCATGTAGTTTTTACACTATATAGTTACATTTATCTTTAAAACATGAGGCAATTGTGTTAAATACATGCAAGATGCTTACATAAATCCAAGAGATGGCCAGTCCCTTTTTTTCAGTGTAGATGATAACAAGTAAGACTGGTTTCTGAGTTTCACAGCTGGGGTGAACAATGTTAAGCATCAGGCTTTCAAAGGAATTAAAAGTCTGTCTTGGTCTTTCATTAATTAATAGGCTGGTGTGAAAAATTGCTGCCACACCTCCCCCTCGGCCTGTGCTTCGAGATTTCTGGTAGTTAGAATGACTCGGGGGTGTTGATTCATTTAAACTAACATAATCATCCTGCTGCAACCAGGTTTCTGTAAGGCAGAGTAAATCAATTTGTTGATCAATTATTAAGTCATGTACTAACAGGGACTTGGAGGAGAGAGACCTAATATTTAATAATCCACATTTCACTGTTTTACTCTTTGGTTCAGATGTGGATACTGTATTGTTCTTTCTTTGTGATTTTTATATGTTTAAGTTGTTTGTTGCTGGTTTTTAGTTTGTTTTTTGTCTTTTTGGAAGCTGACACAGTCTCTATGGAGATGGGTTTTTGGGGGGATAGCAGGAGGAGAGAAGCTGCAGAGAGGCGTGTAAGACTGCAACTCTGCTTCCTGGTCCCAACTCTGGATAGTCATATTTTGGGGGGTTTAATAAATTTGTCCATATTTCTAGAAATGAGAGCTGCTCCATCCAAAGTGGGATGGATGCCGTCTCTCCTAACAAGACCAGGTTTCCTCCAGAAGGTTTGCCAATTATCTATGAAGCCCACATCGTTTCTGGGACACCACTAAACATGTCACTCCTGGTCTGATTGGGAAGGGGACCAGAGAAAACTACAGAGTCCGACATTGTTTTGGCAAAGTTGCACACCGATTCAATATTGATTTTAGTGACCTCCGATTGGCGTAACCGGGTGTCATTACTGCCGACGTGAATTATGATTTTACTGAATTTACGCTTACCCTTAGCCAGCAGTTTTAAATTTCCTTCAATGTCGCCTGCTCTGGCCCCTGGAAGACAATTGACTATGGTTGCCGGTGTCTCTAGCTTCACATGTCTGAGAACAGAATCGCCAATCACCAGAGTTTGACCCCCGGCGGGTGTGTCGCTGAGTGGGGAAAAACAATTAGACGCATGAACAGGTTGGTGGTGTACCTGGGGCTTCTGTTTAGGACTATGCTTCCTCCTCACCATCACCCAGCCGCCCTCTTACCCCAGCTGCTTGGGGTCTGCCGGGGAACAGCTAGCGGGGCCTACGCTATCTTCGGCTTCACCAGCTACAGGGGCCTGGCTAGCTATGGGTGAATGAAGGGTGCGAAGCCGAGTCTCCAATTCAGTAATCCTGGCCTCCAGCGCTGCAAATATGTTATATTTCTTACAGGTATCAGTACAGTCAGTACACAGAAAGTGTGCTTCGGATGAAGCACGTGAAGATTATATTATGAAAAAAAAATAATGTATTTAAAAGTTTTTAATTAAATTGCTAAGCAGATAAGCTACTCAGAAACACCACTGTGTTTGAGCAGGAACAGGAAGCGATTAGGGCTGGGCGATATGACCCAAAATTCATATCTCAATATTTTTTAGCTGGATGGCGATATAAGATGTATATCTCAATATTATTTTAAAGCCATAAACTAAGAACAAAAAGAGTTCTTAGTCAAAGCTGTGTCCCAGATGTCACACAGGCACTTTTATTAACATACAGCTTAGATGTACATGAAAAAAACTACTCAAAAATAAATGATCACCATTTATTAAATAATAATGTGCCATAAATAAAACTGTTGTTTTTGTGCATAACAAAGAGCTCACAATTGTGCAGTCAAAATGTAAACTAAAAGATGCTGAGCATAATAACAAAGACGGATTTCACAGCTGCTCTGTTCCCAACTTCTACTGTGTGACTGACAGCCTGGAGTTTGAAATCCGCTGCGTAACCGTGTCTCTTAACAGGTGCCATTTATGGTCCTTATACACACACAATACAGTAATATTACGTTGAAGCACAGTACGTATTACTATGCGAAACTCCTCGATAGCCGTAATGCTCCGACAATCCATCAAGCGGTGCAGCTCCGTAGCTTAGCAAAGTCATACTAAAAATTTTTTTGACAGATTGCTGAGCGCTGTGTACCACATAAAATCGGTTCGCAGTCATCGAGCACAACCAGAATTCATACAAAAGGCACGCTGTCAACTTTTGAAAGAATGAAAGGATTTTAGGCTGTGCAGGCCCTGTGGGCTGCATGGCGTTACCGTGGTTAGCATAGTTAGCTCATTAACACGTTGATGCCGTCCAGCCCCACCACGGGGCGATGTGCAGTAACTCGTTAACGGAGATTTGTCGTGTCCATCTTGTCGCTGCCTGCAGGTGAAGGGGGGGAGGGGAAGTTGTGTTCAGTGAAGGAGAGAAGCAAGGTCGAGTAACGTTGCATAAAGATAAAAGTGGACGAAAGAGAGGCAAACTTGTGGCTCCACAACTATAATTATAACGTAACAAAGACTATATCGATATAAACGATATTGTCACATCGTATATCTTGTATAAAAATATATAGATTTTTTTTTTTTTTTTAAACTCAATATATCGCCCAGCCCTAGAAGCGATGCTCTACCACAGAGCGAGCGAACACCAAGTGACAGCGCCATCAAGAGTCAGGCAAATATTCACTCTCCCACCGTGTCTGAAATTTCCTGCACTCACTTTCTACCTTTTGCTTCTTTGGTTCTGCCATGTTTAGCAACTTGGGGTAAATTTCTTCTAATTGTCTTTTTTTTGGTGGCGCAACTGCCTTGATCAACAGTAGCTCCCCCTGGTGTTAAAACTAAGAAGTGCAATACACTCAAGCAAAAGTTGAAGTGCGGCCCATATGCTATTCTATTTATAAAATTACTTGCGGGCCAGTAAAAATGGGCCCGCGGGCCAGAGTTTGGACACCCCTGTACTAAACCTACTTGATGCTTTTAATGTTTTGCAGTCTGTCACTGGTCCCACACATAAACGTGGACATACTCTGGATCTGTTTTTGTTTTGTTTTTTCACATGGTTTGCCTGTTTATAACCTTAAAATTTATGATGACATCTTTTCTGATCATATACCTGTTTTGTTTGAAACTTCTTTTCCCTGTATTATCGCTACATGTGGTTTTATCTCTTTTTGTTTTACATGCATTTGTGACAGGGACAGACAAACATGAGCACATTACCCCTGTCCTTACCTCTTTACGCTGGTTGTCTGTCCATCTTATAATTCAGTTTACACTTTTATTGTTTGCTTTTGAAGTTTTAAATGACCTGGCTCCTCCTTACCTGTCAGACCTTCGACACCGATACACTCCACAAAGGTCTCTCAGATCAACTGAGAAGTCACTCTTTCCTGTCCCCATGTCAAGATTGAAACACTGGGGAGACTGGGCGTTCGCTGTTGTGGCCCCAAATTATGGAATAAGATACCCCCATATTAGGCTGGCCCCAAAACTTGAGAAATCTTCAAATCACTTTTAGAAACACACCTTTTTTCCAAGGATTTTTAGAAGTAGTATCAGAGTCAGTTTTACTCAGTTTTTGGTTGCTCTTAATCTTTTTTTTACTTCTTTTTACTTTTAATATTTCATAGTTACTGATTTTTTTCCCCCCCAGTTATGTATTTATTTTTTGTTGTTGTTGTTATTAGTGTTATTATTATTGTTGTTGTTATCTTTGTCTGTTTAATGTATGGTTTTTAACTTTTATCTTTGTATTTTTTTTTTTTATTGGAAAGCACTTTGGTCAACCATGTTGTTCTTCATGATTCAACATATCATTGATATAAATTGAGCAGATTTAGACTGATTGGCTGACATAGAAAAACACAGAACACTCCATGCTCTGTGTGTGTGTCTTTGTATGTCCGTGTGTGTGTGCATTTTTGTATGTCTGTGTTTGTTCTCTTCACCTCTTTTTAGCAGAAGTTTCAGCTTCTTCACCTGTATTAAGCTCAAAAATCAGCTTTCTTTACACATTCAAATACTATGAAAGACACTTAATCTATAGTGTTACATCATATTTTAGAAGGATCTCATGTGTTTCTATCATTTCTGCCTTGTTTGACCCATATAGCAGAAGTCAGCCTGTTATCTACTTTGTGTGACTTAAAGCTTTTGTGATACAACTGGCTTTGTTGTGGTGTGATTTGGTCATTCCTTAAGTATTCTATTCCAGCTGCTGGAGGATAACATCATCACGTTTGTGAAGAGTGAGTTGAAGAAGATCCAGGAGGTTCTGACTCCAGATGACCTAAAAGGCTTAATGAGTCAATGCAAGGATGGCAATTTATTGCAGGGTGAACATGAGGAGCCTAGTGAAAGCAGCAGAGAAGCATTTGTGAAGATCACATTGGATTTCCTGAAGATAATGAAGCAGAAGGAGTTTGCTGAGTGTCTGCTGAGAAGTGAGAATATTTCTCTAAATATTTATGGTCCTCAGTAAAGGAAATTTTTATTCTGTCTGAAGGAACAGATAAAATTACATTTACAGTATGTGCAATTAATAAATCCTTCATTGTGGTATTTTGTCTATTGGTTCATTTAGGAACCTCGCCCAGAAACTTCCAGTGGTGTCAACATGAACTTAAATCTGCACTGAAGAAGAAGTTCCAGTGTGTGTTTGAGGGGAACGCTAAAGCAGGAAACCCAACCCTTCTGAATCAGATCTACACAGAGCTCTACATGACAGAAGGAGAGACTGTAGTGGTAAACAATGAACATGAGGTCAGACAGATTGAAACAGCATCCAAGAAACTAGATGGTCAAGAAGCAATAATCACAAAAGAAGACATCTTTAAAGCCCCACCTGGAAGAGATGAACCAATCAGAACAGTGCTGACAAAAGGATGGGCTGGCATTGGGAAAACAGTCTTAACACAGAAATACACCCTGGACTGGGCTGAAGACAAAGCCAACCAGGACATCCCGTTCATATTTCCATTCACTTTCAGAGAGCTGAATGAGCTGAAAGAGGAAAAGTTCAGCTTGGTGGAACTTGTTCATCACTTCTTTACTGAAACCAAAGAAGCAGGAATCTGCAGATTTGAAGACTTCCAGGTTCTGTTCATCTTTGATGGTCTGGATGAGTGTCGACTTCCTCTGGACTTCCACAAAACTATAATCTTGACTGACCCTAGAAAGTCCAGCTCAGTGGATGTGCTGCTGATGAACCTCATCAGGGGGAAACTGCTTCCCACTGCTCGCCTCTGGATAACCACGCGACCTGCAGCAGCCAATCAGATCCCTCCTGACTGTGTTGACGTGGTGACAGAGGTCAAAGGGTTCACTAACCCACAGAAGGAGGAGTACTTCAGGAAGAGATTCAGAGATAAGAAGCAGATCAGCAGGATCATCTCCCACATCAAGACATCACGAAGCCTCCACATCATGTGCCACATCCCAGTCTTCTGCTGGATCACTGCTACAGTTCTGGAGGATGTGCTGAAAACCAGAGAGGGAGGACAGCTGCCCAAGACCCTGACTGACATGTACATCCACTTCCTGGTGGTTCAGGCCAAAGTGAAGAAGGTCAAGTATGACGGAGGAGCTGAGACAGATCCACACTGGAGTCCAGAGAGCAGGAAGATGATGGAGTCTCTGGGAAAACTGGCCTTTGATCAGCTGCAGAATGGAAAACTGATCTTCTATGAATCAGACCTGACAGAGTGTGGCATCGATATCAGAGCAGCCTCAGTTTACTCAGGAGTGTTCACACAGATCTTTAAAGAGGAGAGAGGACTGTACCAGGACAAGGTGTTCTGCTTCATCCATCTGAGTGTTCAGGAGTTTCTGGCTGCTCTTCATGTCCATCTGACCTTCATCAACTCTGAAGTCAATCTGCTGAATCTAGAAACAACTCACTTATTTAAAACCCTCAGAACAAAATACAAACTACATTTCTTCTACCAGAGTGCTGTGAACAAGGCCTTACAGAGTCCAAATGGACACCTGGACCTGTTCCTCCGCTTCCTCCTGGGCCTTTCTCTGCAGACCAATCAGACTCTCCTACAAGGTCTGCTGACACAGACAGGAAGTAGTTCACAGACCAATGAGGAAACAGTTCAGTACATCAAGGAGAAGCTCAGTGAGAATCTGTCTGCAGAGAAAAGCATCAATCTGTTCCACTGTCTGAGTGAACTGACGGATTGTTCTCTAGTAGAGGAGATCCAACAGTCCCTGAGATCAGGAAATCTCTCCACAGATAAACTGTCTCCTGCTCAGTGGTCAGCTCTGGTCTTCATCTTACTGTCATCAGAAGAAGATCTGGATGTGTTTGACCTGAAGAAATACTCTGCTTCAGAGGAGGCTCTTCTGAGGCTGCTGCCTGTGGTCCAAGCCTCCAAGAAGGCTCTGTAAGTAAATATTTACTGATATTTTTTATTTTTATTTTTTTGTTATCAGCGCAATGTATTGTTCATAGTAGAATAAATTGTTAGCGTTTCTGAAACTTTTTTGAGTGTAGCCTTTAAAAAAGTACTTTCCAGACCTGTTCTACAGTGGGCCTACAGCTTTTCATTAACTACTCAAAAATGAATACAAACCAGAGTTAAAACCGCCTATTTCAAACAGAAGATGAATGTGGGGTCTCATCAAGGTTGAGAATGGCATAAGTAAGGATTATTTTTGAAGTCTATCTGGCAACAACAATCATATATATTGTAATTTGACAAGTTTTTTATACCTGTGGCAGAGGATACTGGTCTTTTACTAAATGTTGCATGTCTAGATATAGACGTATAATTGTGTTGTTAAGCAAATTAAAAAATGTCATCTATATATTATTTCCAGACTTGAATTTGAAGGTGTATTTATATTAATTACGTCCACGTGGAAACATTTGTTTATTCCGTAGTAGGTTGAAACAAAAGGTAATTTCATTTAATCACAAATATAATTTATTTTCAGATTGTCTGGCTGTAATCTCTCAAAGAGAAGCTGTGATGCTCTGTGCCCTTTTCTCATCTCCCATACCTCTACTGTGATGGAACTGGACCTAAGTAACAATGACCTGCACGATGCAGGAGTTAAACTTCTGTCTGCTGGATTAAGGAGTCCAGATTGTCCACTCAAAAAACTGAGGTCAGGATTCAGCCTTTTTCATTGATGTAAATTTAAAATCTGTATTATATCATGGCATAAACAAAAACCTTATTGAATTCTAAATTGAACTTTTATTTACATTCTGTATCACCAGCCTCTGAATTACTGTTTGTTTTTTGTTTTTTCAATTTATTCTTGCATATTGGTGACTCTGTTTTTAAAAATGTGAATTTGGACACTCCAGCAATCATAGTTTATTATATTCCTGGGTCAAGATCAGGTGACACTGAAACAAATTTGAAACTGCAACAGGGGCCGCAGGTGCACATTCGCTGTCAAAATAAAAGACGCGCACCAGATAAGAAGTTGCAACGCGCATTTGCGTACATATACTGCTTCTTTTGCATTTCAGACTCCTTCTGACATTTCTTTGTAGTTGGAGGAACACCAAAGTAATTTCTTAAAGGAGCTTGCTTCTTTGACGTCTTTAAGAGTTCTAAACAAATGTCTGTCCTCCTCCATAAAATTGTACGTACATAAACAGCGTTGCAACTTCTTATCTGGTGCGCGTCTTTTATTTTGACAGCGAATGCACACCTGCGGACCACTTATGTGCAGCCCTGTTAATAGATATTTGATAGAGTTTCTGGGAAACCTGGTCTCGTTACGAGAGATGGCATCCACCCCACCTTTGCATGGAGAAGCTCTTAGTTCAAGAAATATGGTTGAATTCATTAACACTCCAATATATGACTACGCAGAGTTGGGATGCAGAAGCAGAGTTGTAATGTGGAGTGTTATACACTGTCTCTCTTCTACGTCTCTTTTAATAAATTATTTTATATTTAATCAACACACTTATTCTGGCTTCAGTTCATCTTCAGTTAATTCTGTATCAAATCTACCACTAATGAGGCGTCCTTAAAGTCACCACTTTTTAAAATAATATTTTAGTGTTACTATCCATACAGGTGAGGAGAGAGGCAGAAACATGCTGGGATTTGCAGATATTTAATAATTAGTTCTGCACAGTAACTGATAAAGAGTCCAACTGGTTGCTCTTACAGTATAAAACCCATAATAAAAATACAGTAGTAGTAGTAGATGTTATATGCTTTTCTGTCGTATCTGAGTATCGGTGCCCCTGGGCAAAGTTTATTGAATTGCTTTGAAGCACTCCTGTTTCAAAAGACCTGCTCATCAAAGGATTTTGATACCCATCATTTTTTTTACATCAGTAAGACAAAGAATTTCTTCGTCCCCATTCTATGAAGAAGTAGAATGTATTTTTCATGTATTTTGTTTTCTTTTTCTTATTTTTTTAAATAACGCAGGACACTAAGAATGATCTTTTACTGCATGTCAAACATGTTAATATTATGTAAGCCGAGGCAATAAAACACGCAGCATGCTGAACTGTAGACTGTAAACCTTTCCCATATCCATGAAAAAACTAGAACTTTGTGGTTACTGTGTTAGTGGTGTAACTTGATAGTATGTGGCATAAGTTAATAACTACAAGAGACATGATCCTAAATATAACTTTAGGAATAAAAAAAAAGATTTTACTTACCTTACAGTTATTAAATCTAGATTCTGCTCTGTTCCTAAGTTCTACTGCTTGACTGACAGCCTGGAGTTTGAAATCTGCTTCGTAACCGTGTCTCTTAACATTTATGGTCCTTATACACACACAATACGGTAATATTATGTTGAAGCACAGTACGTATCACTCCGCGAGGCTCCTGACTACGGTAGCCGTAATGCTCCGACAATCCATCAAGCGGTGCAGCTTTACATCCATCGTATACAATGCACTAATAAAAAAACAAATAGCAAAATACCCCGTGGCTGCTTGTCATTAAAAGAAGTTCATCAGATATTTACATTACATTTTTTTATTATATTTATTTACATTACATTTACATCACCTTAGTTTGCACTAGTTTCAGACATTGAAAGCTTTCAACTATGAATACAACATATCAGAGCACTACGGGAGACAAAATTTAACTCATTACAAATCAACCAGTTTGCAACATATTAAATAAATAAATAACATTTTATTTATATAGCACCTTTCTTGACAGAATCACAAAGTGCTGCACATAAGATAAAAAATAATAAAAGGGTAAAACAATTCAATTTCAATTCAATTCAATTTTATTTATATAGCGCCAAATCACAACAAAAGTCGCCTCAAGGCGCTTCATAGATACAGAGAAAAACCCAACAATCATATGACCCCCTATGAGCAGCACTTTGGCGACAGTGGGAAGGAAAAACTCCCTTTTAACAGGAAGAAACCTCCAGCAGAACCAGGCTCAGGGAGGGGCGGGGCCATCTGCTGTGATTGGTTGGGGTGAGAGAAGGAAGACAGGATAAAGACATGCTGTGGAAGAGAGACAGAGGTTAATAACAGATATGATTCAATGCAGAGAGGTCTGTTAACACATAGTGAGTAAGAAAGGTGACTGGAAAGGAAAAACTCAATGCATCATGGGAATCCCCCGGCAGTCTACATCTATTGCAGCATAACTAAGGGAGGATACAGGGTCACCTGGTCCAGCCCTAACTATATGCTTTAGCAAAAAAAGTAAAACAGTCAATATAAAACAGGCAGAAATTTAACCAAAAACAGTTTTAAAAAGGTGAGTTTTGAGTTGTTGTTTTTTTTAAAAACAACTACCGAGTCTTAATGTATTCTTAATGTATGAGGGAGAGAGTTCCACAGTCTCGGGGCCACAGTGGCAAAAGCTCTGTCACCCTTACTTCTCATCTTAGTCTGTTTTATAGCAAGTAAGATCGGAGATGTAGGGTGGTGCCAGTCCATGCAAGGCTCTTAATGTCAAGACCAGGATCTTAAAATGTACTCTAAATTCAACAGGAAGCCAGTGTAGCTGAAATAACAATGGTGTCACATGTGAATACTTGGAGGATTTTGTCACCATATACATAAGGATTCATTCGGTGTTATCTTGCAGTGTGAGTCAAAGAGTGACTGGTGACTGGCTGCTCCAGCCAAAGATGCGATTCACATTCATACAGGGAGTGCAGAATTATTAGGCAAGTTGTATTTTTGAGGAATAGTTTTATTATTGAACAACAACCATGTTCTCAATGAACCCAAAAAACTCATTAATGTCAAAGCTGAATGTTTTTGGAAGTAGTTTTTAGTTTGTTTTTAGTTCTAGCTATTTTAGGGGGATATCTGTGTGTGCAGGTGACTATTACTGTGCAGAATTATTAGGCAACTTAACAAAAAACAAATATATACAGTGGGGCAAAAAAGTATTTAGTCAGCCACCGATTGTGCAAGTTCCTTATTGTGCAAGACCCTTAGTTACGCTCCCCTCTTTTCACTCCTGATGTGTTTATGTGCCATGCTTTCTCTCTAATATTGTAGGCTGTTACCTTACACTGTTAAACAGCTTGAGATGACTGTTGTTGTCTGTTGGAATTGTCCTTTATAAATAAAGTTAAATTGAATGGATAGATGTTATTATATGTGACAAAGAGAAGATTGTTGACAGATGGATTGTTGTTTTGTGTGTCTGCAGTCTGTCAGGCTGTCTGATCACACAGGAAGGCTGTACTTCTCTGGCCTCAGCTCTGAGCTCCAACCCCTCCCATCTGACAGAGCTCGACCTGAGCTACAATCATCCAGGAGACTCAGGAATTAAACTGCTGTTGGCTGGAGTGAAGGATCCATGCTGGAGACTGGACACTCTCAGGTATGGAGAGAATGTCTGATAGAGGAGGAAGAGCTGGAAACATTTCCTGTGTCCTTCACTATCTGTTGGTTCATGTGACATGATTCATGTTTAAGGTCTCTAGGGAGAACATCTCCAGGTAAAATTTAGTTATCTTAGCACTGTTCCCTCTACGCTGCGAGCCTGCGCAAATACGCACTGCTGGCACAGAAAAGCTGCTGAAATTTAAATGTATACATAAGGATTCATTGGGTGTTATTTTGCAGTGTGAGTCAAAGAGTGACTGGTGACTGGCTGCTCCAGCCAATGATGCGATTCACATTCCTATTTACACAGCTAATCAATGTCGTTGACAGGCTCTGACAGCGTCCTTATGTGCCAACACCAGTGTTTTAGCTAGCAAAGCGGCTGATGTGGAGTGAAGCTACACTAATGACAACATGTACAAGCATTGGAGATGTGAGCAGGACAGATAGGAAAAAATTAAGGTGAAGTTTGAGTTCTCAGTCAGATTTGTGCTCATCTAATGTCATTTATTTACAATTTTCATTTGTGGATATTGATCATTAAATACTGTCACTGGTTCATGAGTAGCAGAAATGCAAATAATCGTGTCATTATGAGTGATGGGAATAACGGCTGTTACTTTTTTTCAGTAACTAGTGATCTCAATAATCTATTTCTGTAGTTACATCGCTGTTACTAACAAGAAAATGTGGTGTGGACACGTTGCTCTTTTTCAAATCACAGATGGTTGAAGCTACCTTCAGCTTAACAGGAGCTGGGGGGTCGGGCGCAATCACACAAGTGTTCCTGATTGGCTGAGGAAGAATAAAGTAAACCAATTTCATGATCAATTTAAGATGTGTTGTGGAAGTTTTCCATTAAGTAAAGCCTGCAGACGAGCGGTAGCTAACATTCTTGAATCAAAACACAAAGAACAGACAACCAAGTTGGTGGAGCCCCTGCATGACCGGGGCAGACGGTCAGCAGAGTCTCACTGAGCTTAGCATGGCTGTCAGTTAAATACCTCTTACAGGAACAAAAGGCAGTACACAGCTGTTTCACACTTCCTTGCTACCTCCCAGAGTCAGAGAAGAGACAAAAGACTCTTCATGTGGAGTTGTCTGCTTCCCCCAACTTCCTTACTAGACCCCCACCATTTGTCTTACTGTATGAGTGTGAGACATGTTAAAATCCAGTGGCACCAAGGCATTAGACAAAATAATGGGATTAATACATAAGTAAAAGAAATTCCTATACAGATGACATAAAAACAAGATGTTATGTCAACCCAAGACAACTTGAGTCTCCCTTTATATGTTAAAAGTGTGGACTTCGACTATATCAGAATCAGAATACTTTATTCATCCCGAGGGAAATTAGGGGTTACAGCAGGCAGCACGCTAATGGCGCATGCGCACTCACAAAGGAACCTTCTGACCAACTTTACACAAACATCACATTGGGCAGACATGTCAGAAGGTAGGCTGATAGGAAAAAAACAACGAAAATACACTACATGAGGTAAGAGGAGGAGAAAAAAAACTCCACTCAGACTGAGCTCCTAGTGGGAGAACAGTTTGATAACAGAAAAAACACCTCAGCACAAAAGCACATGACTATCAATACACCATAGAAACACGAGACAAGCAACAGGGGCGGGTAAAGGTGAGAGAGAGCCGGCGTAGACAGCGCATCCGGTCCTGCAGCATATCTGCGCTGGTCCAGTTGACTGCTATCTTCCCCGGTAGGGCACAAGCATCGAAGGCGTTGGAAAGGGAGGGGGATGAGTGAGTGCTTATCAGTGTAAGTGTGTGTGCGTGTCCATAGTTTAGCTGAGACAGTGTCCTTCGGCCTATCAGGCTAAGTAAACAGTCCTCCAGCCAATCCAGGTGTCCTTCGTGGGGCGGGAAGAATAGTCATCACACAGTCGTTATCAGGGAGTTGTTTTGGTGGGCTCCAGCCTTGGGCCTGCAGCTGGGGCCGTGGTGTCCAAATGTTGAATATTGTTGATTTCTACCTTTGTGAGCAGCTCGAATTCTAGCACTCCGAGACTGGTCTCTCGATCTCCCGTTGGAGAGCCGCGAGCCTCCCCATGATGGTATCAAACTTCTGTTCTGTGGTGTTGTCAGTCTTTTGATTCTGAGACCTCACAACTGCAGTGATCCGTTCCGCGATGTTTTCCAACTGTCGCTCAAGGGTCTCATTTTGAGCAGGCCCCTCTCTGATGTTTCCCCTCATACGCTCAGTGGTGTTGTTTTGAGCCTTCACAGCAGCTGTAAGCGTCTCCAAGGTGTTGACCATATTATGTTCGTTGTGAGAGGTCGCACCTCGTCCCGTCGCTTCGAATCCAGCGGGCACCCTTGGGGGGGTTTGAACAGCCGGTTCCGCTTTCTTATTTCTCTGATAAACCAGGGCTAAGCCAACGCCGATCAGCATGAACCCTGTTATCATGGTTCCAAATAGGTAGATATCTTCAGCGTCCTCGATCGACAGTCCCGCCAGGCACACGGTCCTCCAGTTCTGCCACCCGTCCATCGTGTAACCGGCAGGGAAAGTCCCTCCAGGGCACTCAGGCTCTCCCGAGCCCCGACTTCTCGTTGAGAAAAGGGTGTCAATAGCACTCAGAGACCAGTTGATCAAATCCATAATTCTCTTTTAGGTTTAGAGAACGACAGTGAGAGACTGTTCCAGGGAAAGTAAATTCACACAAGACAAGACAAGGACATAGAGGCGAAGCAGGGAAGATAAGGGTGAGGAGGAGAGGAGAAAGTGCGACCGCCTTCGCTGAGAGCTCAAGAAGGTACTTCAATAGCAGTTTTTAAATTGTGTTGACAGGTGACGTAAACCCAGAATTATGATTTAAAAAAAAAAAGTGATATTTTTTCCTGAGACATTGGTTTACCACGGGCAGAGATGGTAAATGTGGCGTTTTATAAGGAAAGCGCTCCAAAGCACTCTCCACTCTACAAATGAGCAAAAACACAAATCAAAAAAACCCCACCCTTTCCTATTGATGGAAAAATGTACCATGTTGACCAATCAAAAAATGAAATGGCACCATAGCATTTGGTTGTTTAGAAAGAGGGGAAAGTTTTGGGAGTGACAGTGGCGAGAGAGCAGAAAAGAGAGAGAGTTTTGAGATGAGAGACTTGTGACGTTTGGCATGTTTGGAATCTACAGTTAGTGTGTAGTGTAGTCGATAGTTTCGTTGTGTGTCAGAACGATGAGGCGACTGATGAATGTTACAGGTGCTGCCAAAAGTGGCTGCACATATCAGGCTTGTGGTGTTCTCCTTTATCTTATAGTGGACAGAAATAATTTGTGTGGCATCAAATTTGATGCAGAACGCCTGATTTTTCTTTAATATGAAGTAACTATAATTAATTATAGTAACTATTGTCAAGTGTTCTGTCTGTGAGGTGCCCACACTTGAAAAACACCAGACTTTGGGTTTCACTCACTTTATTTTGACCAGGTAGTTAGATAGCTGATAGGTGAAAAACCTTTCAACACAAAAAAGAACACTTAATCATTCAGATAAACTAAAGGATTATACAGAAGACAAATGAAATAACAAAAATATATACACTTCAGTAAAGCCACTTAACATAGCTAAAGCTAAATACTTTTGTCTAAACTATCATTTAACCCAGTTTAAGTTAGTTTTACATTCATTGGTTTTTAATCACAGAGCTGAGTAATTTCAAACAACGAAGATGAAAAACTGTTTCTTAAATACACAAAATGTGTCTACCTCGCATTTTTACACTTTTTATAACAATTACATTTTTAAAGTATACATTTTAGAGTTTACAAATATTTTAATAGAGACTTTAACCAAGGATTTTCTTTTACAAAGAATTATTTTCCTCAAATTAAACCAAACATATTCACACTAATTTTAAGATTTAACCAAGGATTTGGCTAACTATTTTTAGTATTAATTAACATAAATATGTGGGAAACACTATCTACATAAACAATTTACTCAAACTTAAACATTCATTTTAATGTCAATATAATTTTTTGAAATTAAATGCAGTAACTATTTCCCAAAGCATAAATACATTTCCACAATTGAGCTTCCATAGTTCCCCAACATATAAGCAGCAAATATGAGTCCGAGCTTACCGATAGCCCGTCTAGCTCAAAGTCTTCCTCACAGTGGCAAGTGGATTGTGCTTCATTTGCTGTCCTCTCAGTATGTCGCACCCAGGTCAAATGACTGCTGCATGCATTTTAAGGTCTACTAGGCACGCCAGGCCTTGATTGCTCTAATTCAGCTCACCTGGCGGAGCGGCGCGCACCAGGCCGCGCTTAGCTGTAGATTGCACACAAGGTCTAATCAGCAGCCATGCGCAAGCAGCCGTTTGATGACTCGCCATGAAAATCTTATTGCTTCTCATTCTGTCATACATTGTCTGATCTGGTCCAAAGAGCACACATATGATAAGGCTCCACCCCTGAACATATTTCAACTACCATATTTGACATCAGGGAGAGCGCCACCTAGTAGGAACAGGAAATGTCATGTTTTACACTTTGGGGTACAGTATTGTGATGGGTGACATCTGCAGCCTCAAATTTCTCCAGGAAAGCCTTAAGCAGTTGGTCTTGGGTTACAGTGAAAACTGTGAATTTTCGCGTAAGGGTGTGACCCCAGAAGCATGGCGAACTTTCATGTCTCGCCATGAAGAAACAAGTTAGTATAACTCAATGAAATCCAGTCTGATCAGTACCAGACTTTACAGGCATGATGTCAGACCTGCCCTGAACAGATTGATGTGCCCATCGTCAGGAATATGCAGAGCGCCACCTAGTGGCAACAGGAAATGTCATGTCTTTCACTTTGTTGTACTGATTT